TGGGAGGAGGAATGCCAGGTAGCAAGCAGCATGCACGACACAGGTGAGCCCAGGCTGGACCAGAGTACGGCAGAAGGGGAAAGCTTAGATGATACCATGTTGACCATTTGTTTTCTCCCTTGCAGAACTGTTTGTGGGTCTGGCTGTATGTGGATCCATCCTCCTTCTCCTTATAATTCTCCTGTTGACTGTACTCTTCCGCATACAGTCACAGCCCCCTGGCTACCGACATGTTTCCAATGAGGGAGAAGAGCAGGCCTGACAGTTGCTTCAACTCCTTCCCAGACAGTAGGAGGGAGCAGTGTTGCCCCGAAGGGTGAAGGGCATCTTCAGTTACTGAGCATTCTTCTGCTTTGGCCATTGCTTCCCAGAATGAAGCTGGACTTGATTTTTGGATGCTTTCCAAAGGTGATGTCCCAGTGAGAGGACTGAGCTACTCTAATGGAAATGACAGTTCTGAAGCCAGTATACTGTGTGGTGCCTCCAGTTCTCATACAGCTGGCTTAGTCTGGGATTTCTAATATGGCCACTTGGAACTGGTCAAGAGTTTTCCTCCTTTCAAGTGATCGTAAATGTTATCACTCACCATGACTGTGGTAGAGGGGCTTGGGCCTCCACCAGCTACCACATCCAGTGCACTGAGGAGCTGCATCTCCCTTCAGGGCCAACCTGTTCCGAGTGCTTTTCTCTCAAGGCATTCGGCTGGTGATGGTGGGAAGGCTGGGACTGGAGCAGAGGGTGCAGCTCACCAAGAATGCACCAAGTCTTATCTACGGTCTGTGCAGAGAGAACTGCTGTAGATGATGGCAGACAGTGAAAAGTGTTTCTTGAGGTTGCTGCCAAGTAATTGCTGCTGGCAACTGGTCTTTTTTTCCCCTTTTTTCAAGAGAGGACTGGCCTGGAATTGGGACAAGGTTTAAAACCTGGCAGTAGTTTCTAGGATTCAGCTCAGAGTAGGTTACCTATGATCCAAAGAAGCTCCAAGAGCTTCATCAGAGAGATTAATTCCTGTGACCATAGCAAACCCACACCCAATTTCTTGGGCAGTGTTGGCTATAGGAAGAAGAGTCCCCATAGACAAGAAACTTGGGCCCTGTCTGAAGATTCAGCCTTTGAATTTAACATCTGGACATCTGAACAAGTACCTATTACAGGGAGTATCCAGTGCTGCAGGCAGTCCAGATCTCAGCTACAGTCCCAAGGAATACGCTTTACTAGCACAGTCTACCTAAGACTAGATTAAATGCAGGTTCTGTAGCTTTTCTTCCTATCTTCCCTACTGGATCGACAACAAACCACCATGAACAAAAAACATTAAGGACCAAAGTCCAAAGTGACTCTGGATCCCTTCATGTGCCACTCTGGCATTTTGTCCAAAGTGAGATTCTTTTTCCAGGCTGACCTCTATGCACGCTACAGCTGCTGCAAGGAACTTTGAGCCAAGTGCTCACCACCTGCCTTGTAGCTTTTGGCAGAAAATGAGACTGCAGCAGGCACCAGGAGCACAGGCTCTTCACATGGTGATGCTGCACATTCACTTCCCACATTTACTTCCCTTTCTGGTGCAGTTCCCTTCTGTGCTTGGCACCAGAAGTCAGTTCTTAGGTTACAGATATTTCCTTTTCTTCCCCTATGGAGTACCATGGGGACTTTCCCCTATACCATAATCAGCATCCACAGCATGGGAACTCTAAATTAGCAGAAGCAGCTTGCTGTTCTCAGCATCTTCCTCACCTTTTTGTCCTCTGAACATAGAATCTAGGTCTCCTGCACAGCAAGACAGTCATAAAGCAATCTACTGCCTGTGAGAACAGGCACAAGAAAGAGGTAATAGAAAGTGCACTTAAGACCTGATGTAATTTTTAAAGGCAGCAAATTTTGCACACACAGAGAAAAAAGGTTTCTATAACGGTTTAGACATTTTGACTGTGAATGACTTTCTGTAATTGTTCCAATACATTTCATTTTAATTATTAAAATTGAATTCACACTGAACTCAACTCCTCCTCTTCTCTAAGAGTTCGCAGGGCTCATATTCACCAATGTGCTCGGTGTTGGAAAAGAGGCAGAATTTACTGCAGTAAGTTACCTTCTCCCCAAGTAATTCCTTGATTTACAGCCCCACTTAGAGCTGAGTGTGAGAACTGAGAGAAACCATTTTTGACTGCAGCAACCACTCGTAGGTACAGCTTACAAGGACACCTGTCCAAACTGGAAGGGTCCCTTCCAGACAGTACTATGGCTGATATTTTCACCACTGTTGTAGTTCTCCCAGCCCTCCTGCAGAGAGGTCTGCAACTTCTTCCCCCCAAAAGCAGTTCAGCAGAATGCTCAAAGCAGCCGCTCTATATCAAAGTAGTTTAGTACAAAACTTTATTAATATCAATACTGCAGAACTATAAAAGTGAACAAAGAGAATCTGAGCAGGCCTGGCACCCGTTCCATCCATGAACCTCTGCGACAGCAGCAAAACCCCAGGCAGCCTTGTAAACCAACTAGAAAAAGCAGAACTTTTCAGTTTAACAGCAGTCTTGAGAACTGGCTCTGAGCAGGGGTGTTGGGAAGAAATTCCTCATTTCTGCTTTACAACACTTAGCCAACATTCTGAAGCATAGGTGAGGCATGGGTGAAACTACCTCATCAGCGGCAAGAAAAAGCCTGGAGCTGTGAAAATAGAAACTACAGAATCAGTAGGTTTCCAGGTGATACCACCTTTGCATCCCATGAGACAGGTAAAGAGCTCTGGGGTCATGTACTTCATGGTCTAGTTAAATAGCTGCAAGCACAGAACAGGCTAAGCCTGAGGGCTTGACAGATGCAAGTTTTCAAAGAAGCTTGCATATGGGAACACCTCCCTAGGCTACCCATCACCTCATCCCTGTCAACATTCTACCTCTTCAGGGCATTAACCTTGTTAGCGAGGGGTTTCTCAGCTCAGTTTGACTGACAGGCTGGCGAGGCTGTCAGGGGTTGGGCTTTTTTTTGTGGTACCCTCTGACAAGCAGAAATGGCAGGCTGGAAGCAATAATTTCATCAGGATCTGAGAGTATCTTTGAAGTTTTCCTAGTGCCTCAGGAAATGGGTGGTAACTCCACTCAGAGGAGAAACTGTGTACTGATACAACTTTTCTAGAAGGAAGCAAGATCAGATCCAGGGAGGAAGGACAAAGCAGAAGTCTAATGCCCTGCACGGACTTACACTGCCCGTTGCCAACACTGAATTTGTATCCTGTGATCCAGAGAGGATCAAAACACTAAATCAGTTCTCTAGATCCTTCCCTTTTCGCTTCCTTCCCTGTGATTTAGAATTGTTGCTTTTTGTTCTCATCTCCTCCAGCTCCCAAGACAGTAAGTTAGCTTTGAGTTTGCTTGTCCCAGGATTTGTCTGCCTCTGACCTCCATGTCTGGACAAACTCCAGCTTCCAATCCCCTGTTCTGTCATGGCTTTGGAAAGATGTTCTTGCTTCTTGGCCACCATCTCCTCCCGGCTCCAGATCAGAATATTAAAGCCTGAGAGGAAAAATGAGACACTGTGCATCAGACATTCTACATGAAATACAATACCTTAGGCTATGTCATAGAATCATGCAATGTGTTGGGCTAGAAGGGACCTCTAAAGGTCATCCAGCCTACCCGCCCTGCAGTGAGCAGGGACATCCTGAACTACATCAGGTTGCTCAGAGCCCCGTCCAACCTGACCTTGAATGCTTCCAGGGATGGGGCTTCTACCACCTCTCCGGGCAACCTGTGCCAGTGTTTCACCACCTTTACAATAAAGAATTTCTTCCTCATATCTAATATAAAGCTACCCTTTTTTAGTTTAAAATTATTACCTCTTGTCTTATCACAACAGGACTTGCTAAAATGTTTGTTGCCAGTTTTCTTATAGGCCCCCTTTAAGTACTGGAGGGCAGCAATAAGGTCCCCCTGGAGCCTTGTCCAGGCTGAACAACCCCAACTCTCTCGGCTTTCTTCGCAGGAGAGCTGTTCCATCCCTCTGATCATTTCTGTGGCCTCCTCTGGACCCACTCCAACAGGTCCAGAAACTCAAAATGCATTGTCTATTCTAAGATACTTCCAAGGTACAGAGAATGCAAATATATCTATTGCAGATACTATCTCCACACAGCCATGGAAATTTGATCTAATTAAACAACATATTCAAGTAACTCCTAGTTTCATCTGTCACAGGTCTAAAACCTAAATCTATAGCCAGCTCCCTTCATCTCACACAGCCTGCGGAAAACTAAGTCATCTAGGAAACTGAATAAATTAAACAAAGGGAGAGGATACAGCCCAGAAGAAAAAGGCTTCCCTCCCCGGCCACCATCGTTTTCTGCTACTGTGACATGGCCGGCAGATGGCAACAGCTCCTCGCTGCGGAGAAGTTTCTCAGACACTGGACTACACGCTCTCATGAACGTTTCACAGGAAATCATAGAATCATAGAATGTTCGGGGTTGAAAGGAACCATTAAAGATCACTCAGTCCAACCTCCCTGCCAGAGACTCCACCCACCCGGCAAGAGCGGGCCAGCCACACAGGAACACGTCCAGGCAGGTTTGAAAGTCTCCAGAGCAGGAGACTCCACACCCTCTCTGGGCAGCCTGGGCCAGGGCTCCGGCACCCACACAGGGAAGAAGTTTCTCCTCAGGTTGAGGTGGAACTTCCTACGTTCTAGCTTAAACCTATTATTCCTTGTCTTATTACTGGGCATCACCAAAAAGAGACTGGCCCCTTCTTCTCAAGACCCACCCCTCAGATATTTATATACATTAATAAGATCCTCTCTCAGCCGTCTCCTTTCAAGACTAAACAGCCCCAGGTCTCTCAGTGTCTCTTCACAGGAGAGATGTTCAGTCCCTTGATCACCCTCGTAGCTCTCCCTTGGACTCTCTCCAGTAGGTCCCTGTCTTTCTTGAATTGGGGAGTCCAAAACTGGACGTAGTGTTCCAGGTGTGGTCTCACCAGAGCAGAGTAGAGGGGGAGAAGAACTTTCCTAGCCCTGCTGGACACACTTTTCTTAATGCACCCCAGGATTCCACTGGCCCTCTTGGCCACAAGGGTACAACTCACTGTCCACTACGACAGTATGACTAGCAACCTCTGCTTTTTTCTAACTGCAGAGGTGGAAGACTGAAAAGAAGCTCTTGATCTCTTCTACAGATGTAGGAAATTATAGAGGACTACTGGTAGGATTTGGGAAACCCTCACTCACACCTTGCTTTAGCCTGAAGAAACAAGCCTGCCCTTTCCTGCGACTGGAACCCACCCGTGCTTAGTAACTTGGGTTCTCTTTACTTACCCATGCCAGAAGCCAGCGTATCTCCCATAGGATTAAATTTGTTGAGCTGAAAATGGAAACACAATCATAGTCTGTAAGAGCATCACTGCTTATATAAGAGAATCATAAGAGCACCATGGCTTATGTAACAGCAACAAACCATCTGGAAAACTCAATGTTCCCTAAAAAGTATACAGAAAACCCACAGATGACCACGGACTAGCCCTGCTCATTAGCAGCTTTAGCTGGCAGCCACACCCCCACAGGAGCATGAGTCTGTCACAGGTAAAGTGAATACTCTTACTGTCCTGGTCCCTGACCTGTATCTCTTGGCTGCGCTTCAATGCCCAGCGCTCCTTTTAGCTGCAGTACTCAACTCACCGAGATGATACCAGAAGCATTTGGATCATGGAGCTGACAAACCATCTCCCCAGTGTTTCCGTCAAATACATCAACAGTTCGTAGTTCATTCACCGTGTATCCTGGGAACTTAGGGTCTGGGTAGCGACCTGCTACAATGAGGTCGTAGCGAGGATGCCATGTTGCCTAGTCATAGAGCAGAGCAGCGAGGAGTTAAGAGAAGGGGACAGATCTCATACTGACACACACCAGACAACCTGCAGTGTGAGCAACAGTTTGAGGAACATGATTATCCTCAGAGTTGTGGCAGTGTGACATCCGCCAACCAACATAGCATTGTGACCAGAAATCAGACCACTTCTGAGTTACAGCCAGCTGCTCGCACCAGGTGTGATACTCCCCTCTGACTGCACTGGCTTAACTCACCTTAATAGGTGTGAGGTGCTGAAACTGCCGATGTGGATGTGGGATCAGATGTTGTGGCTTGGTCCAGTCGGAAGATGAGTAAACCCTAATTTCATTGCGCTGGTCTGTGCTCAGGAGCTTGGCACCATCTGTTGGGCTGAAGTAAGCTAGGAGAGGAGGACAATAAGACAAACAAAAGATCACAATGCTGTGACTGACAAGAAACAGAAAAGCCACATTTGTCTGATTGGAAACCCACTGCTATTTAACAGGGATGTGAATATGGTCATGTGTCCCAACAGGCAAGACTCTAACAGTGTCAAACTCAAAGCTCTCACAAACAGCAAGCACTGGGTTACACAGGAAGAATAATTATTCCCATTTTAAAATCAGAGAAAGAGACACTACAAATAAAGGAACACGCTCGTTCAAATGGAAAGTTAGTGGAAAAGCTGGAGACATATACCTGCATTCTGGACTCCCATGAACTGATAAAACTGCATCCAAGAAACAGAGGTTTGATTCTCATGCTTTACTTTTGTCAAAAGAAATGCCCCAATAAATTCAGTTTTCTAATCTCAGCTACTGCTGATGCTTACACACTCGTCTCTCCAGGTAGTGTGCCACAGCTTGTACGGCAAGTCCAAAACTGCTGCAGCTGCCCTACCTGTGGCTAATATCGCCACAACAAGAAAAGCTGAGCTGAGTGGACTCTCTGCAGACATCCATGCAATGAAATCCTTATCTCAACTCACCTGCATTGACAGGCTTGTCATGAGGAAGCAGATGAAGAAAATTCATTTTGTTTTTGATGTTTCTGAGGTCCCAGATTTTGACTGTCTGGTCCACAGATGCTGTGGCCAACAACCACTCACATCGGGAGTTAAACTCCACATGAGTCACTTTTTTCCTGTGCAATTTCAGCTTCCAAATCTGCAGCAGAGGAAACAGAAAATCATACGGGGGGGGGAAAAAAAAAAATCAAGGTCTGGAGTAAAGAAATGGAATAATGACCTACTAGTGCAGAGCAAAGAGGTCTCACATCTACAGAGTAACAAAACTTATAAAATACACTAAAAGTTTATCCACTGGAAACAGGAAAGGAGAATAATGATCTTAGAAGCTAATTATTTAATGCTATAGAAGAACTCTGATCTACCAGTTTATTACATCTGTGAGAAAGGAAAACACAATTCCCTCATTCATGGAGGAAGTATTAGTGCCACTGTACAATGCCAGATCGCATCCGGAATACTTTATGCAGTGCCAGTCTTGTACGTGCAGAAAGACTAAAACAAATTGGAACAGGTACAGAAAATACACTGCTGAGATACTAATAAGAAGGAAGGATCTGCTTTGTGGGAGAAGACCAAAAGAGTTTACTTTGTTTATGGCAGTAAAAAAGAGGTGATATAATTGGCTTCTAGAAATTCATCAGCAAAGAAACATGAAGGTGGGAGAAATACGTCAATTAACAAGAATAAATGGATATAAACTGGCCATTAATAAATTTATATCCAAAGCCAGAAGATTATTTCTGATCAAAAGGGTGAAGCTGGCCTATCCTCTGTACAATAATGGGTATCTCCCAAGTGCAGAAAGGAATTTCACGTTCTTTCAGGGGGAAAAATAAGGAAAGGAAAGGAACCAACTAACCTTGAACAAACACAAACCATTTGGAGCACTACTTTACACAGCTGCCTTTGCCCACAGCCCATTGGGTGTCAAACTCTTACCAGATGTTACCCTTACAGGTGGGAGAAACGGTAATTATGGTGTGGCAGTACTACAGGTTCTTGAAAGCAGGGCCCAGAGCAACTATTCTCGTTCTGTATTACTTCCGCCTCGAAGGCGCAGTCTGCCTCTGCCTGCCCTCTCCTGTCTAACGGCAGCAGTGCAATTTCTATCCCAACACTCGCAGAATTAACTGTTGTGTGCCTGCTGAACAGGGAAGGGTATACATCAAAGCAGTATCTCCTAAATGACTCCCATCAGCGCACGAAGTTTCTGGAAGCGTGAAGATTGTTGGCAGAGGGTGCTCACATCTTCAGGTTACAGTTACTCTGGCCAGCAGCAAACACTCTCAAGGAAGGGGCAGTACACGACACAGTCCCTGTTCAGGCGTTATTATCATCACACTCTGGCAATGTCTAACGAATGGTAGAAGTGGAGGACTTCTAACCACCTCACCAATGGCTGGACTCATCTCTTGAGCTACAGGGTACTTGCTCCTCTTTTCAGGGTCTCTCTAGCACAGGAAAGCACACGAGCCTAAAGAGTCCCGTAGAGGAGATGCTGCCTGGAGCCATACAAACCTCTTCACCAGAAGTGCTCAGCAGGACCACGTTGCCCACATTATCACCCGTCACCACGGCGCGGCAGCTTGCAGAAACATCCACACTACAGTACCAGGAACTAGAAGGAAAGACAGAAAATCAGTACTGCCTCCCACAGGCAACTGAAGGCAGCGGAGCTCTGGTTCACAACTCGTCCCTGCAGAGGGAGACGGCAGCAGACTGTAACTACAATCTCCTGCCTGATGGTGCGGGCCTGAGTATCAGGAAGGGGAGTGGCTTATCAGCAATGCTTTCTGTTGGTGACCGAATATGAAATAACTTCCTAGTCATTTGTGAAGTGCTCATTAGATGGTGCGTGACACACTGGGACAGTGGAACAAAATTGAGGCTGAAGAACCTCTCCGTGTTTGCATGTGGACACACCTTGGAAAAGATCAGAACACCCTTGAGACATGAACAAATGGACAGAAGCAGCTTTAAAATGACATTTTCCACAAAATACAGAAGCAGCAGTGAAGAAAAGACAAAAGCTTTGAACTGGAGAGTTGTACATCAAATTGTCTCAACTCCATGCTCCAAGAAAGAAAACTGCATAGTCTTATCTGATAAAAACACGCGTTTTAACCTCAGCTCTGCTGGGAGGCAAAGGGCAGCGAGAATCATAGAATCATAGAACGGCCTAGGCTGGAAGGGACCTTAGAGATCATTTAATCCAACCTCCCTGTCATGGGCAGGGACGACACCTCTCGACTAGACTAGGCAACACATGGGGACCGAACGGGAATAAAGCTGGGGTCCTTGGGTAACCTGCTGGGAAAGCTTCATTTGCAAAGATAAATTATTTCAGAATTCAAGGCCATGGAAATCAGCATTCTGAGCTCAAAGCTTCCAGAAGGGCAGCAAGGGTAAACTCCATAACCCGAAACTCAGATTGTGCAGGAATGTTTCGTGGTTTTCCTATGCTACATGAGCTGCTACAAACAAAACGGAACACTGACGACACTAAAGAGGAGGAAGTTATCCTGCTCTTCTCCCCTCACACTTTATGAAGTGAAAAGCTTTTCTTGCAGAAAAGTATCTGCAAGACAGGAGGTGGCGTCACCAGAAAGCAACACCAGAAGATGCAAGCAGCACGCTCAGCTACTGCAAAAGCGTTAAGTGCCCTGTGGCTGCCTCACTTGTCACCCACTCTGAAGTGCCAGGTTCAGGACCATGTCCCTGTCTCCAAGCTCCCTCAAAGGACCAATTCATACCACGAGTTTACTAACGCTGGCAAAGATGAAGATGTTAGAGCACCAGAAGCAGCGCAGCATTAACCCCAAGGAACAGAATCAGCCTCGAAGTGCTCCCTTCTCACCAAACATTATGGTACTCATGGCCACAGTCCGGGGCACGGGAGATCACCTGCACCGCTCTGCCCTCAAGGTCCTGGAGACTCAGGGTGCCATCCCCTGATGCCACATAAAGCTTCACTGCCTCATAAGGACTGAACTTGATGTCTCCGAGAGAATCTCCTGGCCCTTTCTGGAACACACACAAAGCCAACAGGCATGAAGGTTAGAGTGGAAGACAAACTCTTAATACAACACTCATCCCCTGAAACACACTGCCAGCTTCCCAAGGTACAATCACTGCTTTCTGACAGGGCACATACAAAAGAATTCTTTTTTTCTAACCTGTTTCCAATCTAAGCCCAAACATCCTGAGCCTGTGAATTCAACCCCACCACTTTATGCTGTGAACCTCAATAGCAGCATTGCCTCTTCTGGCATGGGGACAGGACTGATCTGCAACGAACCACCAGGCTCAGATCAGGCTCAGGAGATCACAGGCAAAACCAGCACTGTTCCAAGCAGAAATTACATAAAATCTGATGACAGCCCTGCATGAAGCTTTTCACAGAATCACAGAATCACAGAATGT